GACAACTTTGTTCTGAAAAAAGTTGTTGTTCATATAGTTCAACCAATAAAACAGCAACAAAAAGTGATCAAAATGAAATTGCAAAATATGTTTAGTGGCCAATTGTAATTAAAAAAGCAACATTTACTAAACTAATATCATTATTATTCATTATTATTCATATATCAATAATAATGGCGATATTTTTTTACCTTTGCCATAGAATTAAATACACACAATTTTCAGGTGGATAAACAGGGGCGTATGCAAAGGGGCCTTGGTGGTATTACCCCCCCCATATAAATTAAATTTAGTTACTACACAAACCCCCCTTATTTAAAAATAAATTCTTTTAATGTCCCTATATAGTTTAATATTATATTGTGAACCGGAAAAGCTCCACTAAAACAAACATACAATACTTATGGCTCGGAGACCATTTGATTGCGGCTCCTCGTCTCAATCCCTCTCTCCCTCTACTCTCTATTCAATAATATTGAGAGTAGACAGGCGACACAATATGTTTATCAGCTATTTCTGATCTTAAAACATCAAATCTTTAGTTCCTAGTTCCTAGTTCCAAACCAAACATTTCTGACGGTTTTTTTAGTAAAACTGGGCTATTTCAAGTTACAATTTCAGTTTTTTTAAGTCTCAAGTTTTCTTCGTAAATGACTAGAAAAACATTTCACGATATTTTCTTCGTGATTTAAAAAATTTAATTAAATCGATATTTTTATCAACAAGATAATCAGTCGTTATTTTCTTGTAAAAACCTATGAAAAGTATGGGTTTGTTATATTACAGTAAGGACCGGAAAACTCTGGAATAGAAAGACGACTTTTAGACTCAAGTCATGACTTTATCGAACATAAAAAACAGCAATTATGCAGTGTGAACAGACAGATTTGACTTAATAAGTAACTTAATGACTTACAAAAATAAGTATTTGCCTTGTACTGCATCGATTGAATAAAATATTATTTTAATGCCGTCTTCCTATTCCACGGTTTTCTATTTCTACATTACATTTTCAATTCCTGCCAGTGCAGTGTATATATCTAGATATCTGATATCTAGTGTGGGCACTTATAAACTTAAGGATCAATGCTTGCTCCTTTCATTCCAGCTTTATATTTCACTGAAGTCTTAATTATTTTAAGATCTAAAGGGACTGTAAGCGGAATTTTAAAAGATCCTCCATTCAAAGATGGCAATGCCTTGTTTACAACGGTAGCATTAAATCTTTTATCTGATCAAAAATGTGAAAGATATTGTTGTTTTTCTAGGCTTAAAAATGTTTAATTCTGATATTTCCTATCTATTTTCCCACAGTAGAAATGCGCAGGACGCTTTTGTAGAGAAACAAACCACTATTGAAAATAATCAGTTTCCCAAAATTTTAAATATTGATTTATAATTTATACTTGATCAGACAACGCTTTTAAGGGTACCGTTGGGAATGGGAACTGCCATCTTTATATGGAGGGTCTGACTTGAAATCACGCTTTCTGTCCCTTCAATTATTCTGTATTTGTTAGAAATAAAATTAATATTAACAAGACAAACTCCTTAGTTATTTAGGAAAGATTACAACGAATTTTTACTCAATTATTGTATACTGGATTATCTACCGGTATCTATAGAAAGTTGTAATCTCTGTTTGTTTGTATGTCCAAGAACGATTCAGGAACCCCTTGACCGATTTGCCTCAAATTTTCTTTGGGAACTCGAAATATCCATAGTTATGTTTTGCTGGACGAGCTGGACTCTTGGCTGGTTTTAAAAATCCTAAGTTCAGTGGGTTCACTTTTTAGGAAAATACATTTTCCAGTTAAAACCAGGTTTACAAGCTATTATGTAATAAATTCATCCCAAACTTTTGTTTATATATTCCTTTTTGTTTAAATCCCTCTCCCCTTCTTCCACCTCTCCCCCCCCCCCTCACTGCCATCAGATGTTCAAGTGCATCTAACGAGTAACAAGGCCAGATATATATATTTCAAGGCTGCCTCAATGGTTCTGCCAATTTCCTTAACTTACACTTGAAATACATGCCTTAACCCTCATGCACCAACATACAGCATGTAAACATAAACAAGGACGGACAGGCAACTCTTGGTTTTCTTTTGTTGCAAGAAAATTCACAAAAAAAAAACTTTTCTTTCCTCGTTGTTACGACTTTGTTGATTCTAGGGGTGTCAATCGCTTTTGATTTTTCAAATCTAACAAACCTTCATTTTATTTGAAAAAATAAGGGTTAAAACTAATCAACTGTTTATTTTGATCTTTTAAAAAACGAAACGATGATTGTTTTTGTTAATGTTTTCCTGAGGAAATTTTAATTTTATGAAATTTTATTTTGAAAAGATTCTCGTAGAAATAGAAGTTTAGGAGTTTTGTTCTGCATATGTTTTTTAAGACTTTGAGTTATGACCGCTCGTCAGACTTAAAGAAAATGTTACGGACAGTTTTTAAACAAAATTTATTTACAAAGATTTAGAATTTTTTATCAGCCTCAAACAAATAAAAAAAATTCGCAGATTTTCGCGTTTATTTAGTTTTAAAAATTACTGAAACATATCCCCTCAAGAGCAAGTGCCAAGTCCCACAAGTCAATTCAAACGGATTAAGTCTTTTCCACAAACTCGAGTTTTCTAATTCCTTTATCTTTGCAACCTAATTGGTTTACCCGTATTGACACCGCGAAATAGACGCATATTTGCTCATTTTATTTACCTCAATATGGTGCGGCCTTAAATCTGTTTTTTATTGTTTCTAATTTCTTCTTTAATTTGTTTAACCTCACATCCCTCAATCAAATACAATGAACCCAGCTTGCAATAACATTTGTTTTCTCTAATCTCTCCCGTCCCTAAGCTTTAGTTTAAGTACTCCACAATCTTGAATTTACCACATGTAAGCATCATGGACTATCAAACCTTATACTCTTCAAGGGACTGTAAGCGTAATGTAAAGTAACCCTCTATGGAAAGATGGCAATGTCCGATTAAAGTGGGTACCTACCTTTCAACGCAGATTTGTTTAATCAAGTATGAACAAGATGTCAAATATCTACAAAACTTACTTGCGCACTTCTACTACTGCAGGAACACATTGATTATCTTACCTTAATTCAACTATTTAAAGTCTAGAAAAACGAACATATCTTTTTATTGATCCGATAAAGTGTTCAAAGGCATCAGACAATGCCATCTTTGCACTGAGAGACACTTATAAATACGCTTACAATCCCTTTCAGAATTAAACATAACGAATTATCCGTAACTCTCCTTAATCCCCGTATTTTAATCACTTTCCATGTGAGCCATTTAACCAATTTTTCTAATTTTTGTTTAAATGTTCAGTTCTATTTTTAAATCGGCTCAGCAGTTTTAACCATTTTTGGGTCAAAACAAATACACAATTTTACTTATTTTCTTCGTTTGTATGTTTATTAATGTGTAATGTGTATATTTCTTAGGTTAAAATTGTAACAAGAATGTGTCCATTGCGGACCATCACCATTTTGCCCTTGATCTATAACTATCTATGTAATGTCTAGTTCATTTTAAGCAAAAGACTCTACTACTCTACTACTCTACTACACTACTACACAAAAGAATAAGACTTCAAAAGGACTGTTAACGTTATTTCTATAGAGCATGCTGTTTCAGACTGACAGGTCCGATTCACAATGTTACCCTTTAAACCTTTGTTTGATAAAAATTAATTATTCGTCTTTCTTATCAGATAAAGGTTTAGAGGTTAGCGTTGTAAATTTGACATTACCAGTCGCCACTCGGCAAATGGGGGTCATTTCAAATGTTTTAAATGTTTTTTTAAATGTTTAATGTTTTTAATGCAAATTGTAAAGTATTCAAGGAACGTGAAGCATGCTTGGTGATTTTATCATAAATATTATGTTGAAATTTAGAGTTATGAATTTATAGGAAAATATTAACTAGCAACGGTTTGTTAGCCTAATTTTCTTAATACCATTGAGATCAATTATTATTTGAGCCACAGTATTAGTATTTGAACTAGCTGTATAGCATAGTTATTTCAAGTTGGCTCTATACTTTAAAGAATAATTGATCCAAATGATTGTGCATTAATCTACGAATAAAATAAATTTAGATTTTTTACAATCTTTTTTTGGAAAGAACAGTCACAAAAAAAATTAGAATAAAGTAAATTCTCAATTAAAATAATTTTATTTTGACAAAAATTGAACAAAATCGCAAATATGAAGCCTTCTCTAGAAATATTAAGTTTCGGAAATACCAAATACCAAACACTGAAAAAGTTAAGATAAGAAAATATTGTAAACAAATAAAATCTACCAAAAACTTCCATGTTAAACAGTATTCTTTATTTTATTTATCCTTTATAAAGTCATGCATGTTTCTTTCTAAATAAAGAAACAAAAATAGCAATTCCTTTATAATACTAAAGTTACCTTTATTCCCTTTTGTAAAAGAAATTAAAAAAAAACATTAATGATGGAATACTTCAGAAAATCCAATTTTCTTCCTACTCTCTACTGTCTACTCTCTACTCTCTACTCTCTACTCTCTACTCTCTACTCTCTACTCTCTACTCTCTACTCTCTACTCTCTACTCTCTACTCTCCAATCTCTACTCTCTACTGCTAGTTTAGTACTTTACTACTCTACTACTACTCTATACTAATCGACTCCTCTACTACTCTACTGCTCAACTACTCTTCTATTCTACTACTATACTACTCTTCTACTCTTCTACTCTACTATTCGACTACTCTTCTACTCTACTACTCTACTACTCTACTACTCTACTACTCTACTACTCTACTACACTACTACGCTTGTACTCTTCTACTCTTCTACTCTACTACTACTCTACTACTCTACTACTCTACTACTCTACTACTCTACTACTCTACTACTCTACTACTCTATTACTCTACTACTCTACTACTCTACTACTCAACTACTCTACTACTCTACTACTCTACTACTCTGCTACTCTACTACTCTACTATCCTACTACTGTACTACTCTGCTACTCTACCTCAATTGTTCCAAAGGTATGGAATCATTGGTTTCCGTCACTTCGTCCCTCACTTTATACGCTTCTTCTCTGAAAATAGAAACACATTTAAGTAATCTAATATTCAGGGTTAGCTACAAAGGATGAGACTTCAAAGACGACTGTACGGAATCTATACTCTCTGTTTACTTAAATTCGTGATTCTCTGCAATTGTAAACTTATTTCTTTCTTTGCCAAATCTTTACAAAGCCATAAAAAACTATATTTGAGGCAGAGAACTTTTTAACCTTGTTAAATTGTTATTTTCATGTCGTCTTTACAGTCTCATCATGTGTGGGTAGCCATGTATATCTTTTAGTGTTGTAAAACAAAAAGTTTTTCCAATAGCATTGGTTAAAGGTTTATTTATCATTGATGTACTAAGCTAGCTGTTCTTATTAGGCCAGAGTACACTGTGTACTATTCTACCTGTTCATATTAGACCCAGAGTACACTGTGTAATATTCTACCTGTTCTTATTAGACCAGAGTACACTGTGTACTATTCTACCTGTTCATATTAGACCCAGAGTACACTGTGTACTTTTCTACCATTTCTTATTAGACCAGAGTACACTGTGTACTATTCTACCTGTTCTTATTAGAACCAGAGTACACTGTGTACTATTCTACCTGTTCTTTTTAGACCAGAGTACACTGTGTACTATTCTACCGGTTCTTAATAGACCCAGAGTACACTGTGTACAATTCTACCTGTTTTTATTAGACACAGAGTACACTGTGTACTATTCTACCTGTTTTTACTAGACCCAGAGTACACTGTACTATTCTACCTGTTCTTTTTAGACCAGAGTACACTGTGTACTATTCTACCTGTTCTTATTAGACCCAGAGTACACTGTGTACTATTCTACCTGTTCTTATTAGACCAAGAGTACACTGTGTACTATTCTACCTGTTCTTATTAGACCCAGAGTACACACCATGTACTATTCTACCTGTTCTTATTAGACCCAGAGTACATACCATGTACTGTTCTACCTGTTCTTATTAGACCCAGAGTACACTGTATATCCAAGTCTCTCTAGATCTTCATCATTTTCATCCATCTCCCTCTCACGCATTCCTAATTTAGGGTTAAAGATAATTTTTAGTGACATTCGTGCATTCAGAAATATTTTTTTGCTATTTTTTTAACCCTGTTATACATTTTTTCAAAATTCAAACTTCATTTTGATTCATTATTCAATTGCTTTTTGCAAATGACGAAGTTGTGTGTTAATATTTGCAAACCAGAAGCAAGATACAGGCCACTTGCATAATTGGTACACTAAATGTATTTGAAATATTGAGTATTCAAGTAAATATATAAAATTTGATCATTGCTAGATCATTTTCTGTCAACAAAATATTAGAAGGTGAGTAAAATGTTTTCTTTACTTTATATTGGAAATCTCTAAGACCCTTTATTTTCAATTTCAAAAGTCAAATTTCAAATTCAGTGGTACTTACTGTGTGAGTGTACTCTCCACATTATTACGCAGTTTTGAGATGGACATATGTTAAAGTCCTTTAAAAATGTGAAATATGATTTTTGAATTTGTAAATCGCTCCATCAATTTTTAATGTCCAAAAACAATTGTTTCACTTCATAAATTTTACCTTTAAATTAGGTTACAAAATTTTTAGAAATGACGTTTAGAGAAATATGTATAGGCAATAAAACTTTTTGATTAATACCTGCGTTATTTCTTTCTGTGTCAGCAACGCCATTAAAGGCTCCATTCTCGTACGCAAATATCTTTATAATCAAGATTACGTAGATAATAAATATATTATATACGCATATTTAAAGGGACTGCAGTCGACATTATTTATAGAGTCAGTTTTTCAGGCCCCAGACCCTTTACACCTATTTCTTATCTAAGCAGCATGGGTAAGATATCATCTGTTTTTCAATCTGGAAAAAGTGTTGATTTCTGACAATTTCTGCAATTTTATACTGAAACAACAATTGTAAATTATTAATGGATATCTTTATTTTTTTGGTCCAGACGAAGGTTTAAAGCTTGAGTCATTGGAAATAATGTCAAGATCCGTTTAAAAGTCCTTGCTCTGAGTCTGATTTTTTTAAATAGTTATTCTAAATAAATTTTTTACAGTTTACTGCAGAAACAAAGTTTAAATTAAAAATATTGAAAAAACTTTAATTTCAAAGTTTTATTTTTTAATAGATTTTTGCGAAGCATGTCTTCATTGTTGTATTAAAGGGACAGTCATTGTAATATTTAAATGAAGAGCTATGTAAACAATAATTGTTGTATTAAAGGGACAGTCAGCGTAATATTTAAATGAAGAGCTATGTAAACAATAATTGTTGTATTAAAGGGACAGTCAGCGTAATATTTAAATGAAGAGCTATTTAAACAATAATTGTTGTATTAAAGGGACAGTCAGCGTGATATTTAAATGAAGAGCTATTTAAAGAATAATTTGAATTTCTATACAAGATCAGAGTGTAGACGTAACTTTCAGTCGATTCACAACATTTTGTAATTTGACGTTTTTACAATTTGTAAAAACACATTTTTAAGGCAATCTAACAAAACAAGTTTTAAGTCCATATAACACATGAATTAAGTTTTATCAATTTTTAAGACAGGGTCGACTTTGAAGTGTCGTAATGCCTGGGGCTTAGATGTTACCGATCTAACTCACTTAATCTTTTCTGCAGCCCTTTACATGTACATTTAGCGCTATATAGCACTTGTTAGTTGTTGTTAGCTTTGGTTTTTAAGAAGTAATTGGCAAAATTCTCATCGATTTTTGCTTGAGAGCTTAAGATTTTTAAATCAAAGTGATAACTATCTACAACTTAAGGAACACATTTTTAGTCCGAAAAGGGTATCTTTATTTTGGAAAAATATGTTTTTAGTCTATATATACATATCTACATTATCTCTGCCTGGTGGGAAGGATTTGTAAGATCTGTTGGAACATATCTCATATCTCCGGCTATATGATTCTTTAACCTAAAGACAAAATTTAAGTACAGTGTGTCTCACTGAGCAAATTAGCTGAGAGACGAATAGAAGATCGTCTTTGATTATTATTATTATTATTATTATTTGAGTTATTTAATGACAAAATTTGACAAAACTTATTTCCTTAATGGGGTGTTATAACTCCCGAAAAGAGTTTAAAAGTTTAACATTTCTTGACTCACTTTGCCCTTCTATCAAAGATCAACGACGACCTTTCGGTCGTATCTCACTTGTTATAACTGCACCCTGTATTTTATATTTATTAACTATGTTATTTTCTGAGTTCTGTGACATTTGAAGCTGGGATTTAATATCAGAGATATAAAAAGTAAGTTTTATCATTGACCGCAAAAATCAATCTTATTAAGCAGATCTGTATATCTTTTAACTTTTACCTCCCCCCTACTTGACTAAGGAGAGGGCCAGTCCAAGAAGGAGAAGAATGAGAAGGAGAAGGATTCCTCCATAAACTCCAGATATTACGAATATCTGTGTCTGCAGATCCAATCCTCCATCCTGCAATTAATCAATCAATCAATCAAGTTATAAAATCGTAATTGCTCAGTGACCTACCGTTGGAAAATCATTCATTAAAATGTGAATATATAATACAGATTAGTAAGAACAAAATTAGTGCTGTTGTTAGATGTTAAAGTTTAAACGGAGTTCTTGAGTCATCATGTTTGAATTATCCAGAAAAAAAAATGATTTTATTCATATTTGGATTTTTTGTTTGTTTTTGGAATCAAATTTCAAAATTTTGATTTAAAATGTTGCTACTCAATATTTCCTACAAGTTTTCTTTAATTTACTTTTTTTAAAGATTGCATTTCTGTCTTTTATGACTTTGTATAAGTTTTTACTAATTCTTGAGATTAAACTAATGATAATTATTCCTCATTAATTGTATTCATGTCAGGCAACCTTCTCGTTATAAATTCTTATTTTTAATCTATTAGACGTTTATTTTCTTAGTCGTAATCCGGCAGACGTTTACTTTCATATTCGTAATCATGCAGATATTTACTTTCTTAGTCAAATTCACACATAAGTTTACTTTCTAGGTCGTAATCATGCAGATATTTACTTTCTCAGTCGGAATCATACGGAAGTTTATTTTCTAGCTCGTAATCATGCAGATATTTACTTTCTTAGCCGAATCACACAGAAGTTTACTTTCTTGGTCGTAATCATGCAGATATTTATTTTCTTAGCTGAAATCACACAGAAGCTTACTTTGTAAGTCGTAATCATGCACATATTTACTTTCTTAGTCGAAATCACACAGAAGTTTACGTTTCTTTTTTCTATCTTAGCCCTAAATAGGCTGGGCGTTTTTTTGCCCTAGCACTCTCATTTTTGACACTATCACAGTAAAAATTTTTTTGGCTTTTAATAAATAGAAGTTCAAAGGATATCATGTAAATTTTATTTTTATGATTAGGGTAGGGTACAGGGCGGTAAAAAGTCCGGTCTGTGTTTAAAAAAATCTAAAATAGCCCATAATTTTTTTATGACTAAAGCTCATATCTGAAAACAATATTTTTGAAAATCCCTTGAAAAATGGATGAAGAAACATGTGTCACATATTAATATTTGTTTTAATTGATATTTTTAACATTTTTTTACCTTTTTTTGACATTTTTCAACCCTCCCTTGCACCCAAACTATAGAAGTTATCGATCTAATTTTTTTTTGAGCTGGCCTTGAAAAATTGGGCTATGAACATGCATTTCAATCCTATACCAATTCTCTAAGGCCTTTTTCTAGGGGGGGGCGGGCAGTCTATACGAAGATTCAGACCCCACAGCCCTTATAGAGTTGAAGATAATTATTAATTGTGTTTACTCTACAGTAATGTGTTGATTTATGCAGCATGGAGACTAAGAGTGAAATTTACAAAATTAAAAAGGAAAACGATGATATCTTCCCAATTGCTGATCAGATGAATATTTAATTGGAAGCTATTGGGAATTGGGTCTGGAACACTTTCAGTAGGGGGTGGCACCAAATTACGTTGACAGCCCCTTTCATAAAATTACGAATAGACGCCTAACACACTAAACTAAGGTAGTCGGGTAGGTAAAACATGTCTTTGATAGGCCAGGTACTGTAAAAGTCTGGCCGCGCCATCAAAGTTGAGACAGGGCCGACATAGGACAGGTGCTTGTCTCGCGTCACTGAGACTGGTACAAGGGTAGGTCCCGTTCAAATACAAATGGACCCTAAGTCCATTTTGATAAAAAGTAACTTTTGATGTTGTATTTTATTGAGAAGAAATTTATTCTGCTTTGTTTGGAAAGAATGGAAAATATTTTCATCCACCTGAAAAACTTTTGTGTAATTTCTAACGAAATATATTGGTCCATTAGGTTTCAAAAGAAGCATTGTATAATATTTTGTAAGAGTCACTTCAGAGCTTTTATCAATATGAAATCTTAAAAAATCTCACATATTTTAGAAGTTTATTTGTTGTTGTTAATAAGGTTAGTGTAATGCAATATATTTATTTGAAATAAATGTTATTTGTGAATAACATGCTAATGTGCAAACTAAGTTTAAATGCAATTTAGGAAATAAGTGCATTTCACGGGTGTTGAAAACGTGATAAAAATGCATGCATGAGATAATTGGTGTAGAACTGAAACCTTTTCCTTTATCTCCTTGAATGTCACCACAAGAGAATTGGGTTTGCCATGGACTGCCGGCATAGTCTTTATTTTTTATTTTTTGTTCATTCCATGTTTGTTTAGGAGAACATTCAGACCTTTGGTCCACATTCATTCTGTTTTAAACGATACCCTTTGTATCGTTAAAATCTTGAATTCTGGGCATGGTGTTTATCTATGGCTTGCTGAATCACGTGCAGATGGTTCCACAGAGGGCTTTTGGCTGAAAATGGTTCCCCAGAGGACTTTTGGCTGAAGATGGCTCATATTGACACTTTTTCTCGAGTTTCCTGTTGATTTCAGCCAGCAAGACTTCTCACCATTTTCTGGCTCAATACTCAAGGTCCCTTTGTTGATTTCGTCAAACCAGACCAGCATCAAGCTAGTTAATTTTTTCATTTCTGGACACTGCACATATACAGTTTGGAAAACAAAACAAACAAAAATGAGGGAAATTAACACAAGAATTACAAGAATCCATGCAGGGAAACAAACAAAACTGTGCTATGTTTTTTCCTGCTTACCGAAGTAGAGGCTAATTGTACACTATCTGAAACCGGTTCTTGTTTTCCGGAGTTGCTTTCTATTCCATCCATGTGATCATTTCCTGAGTGGTCTGCCTCTGTGCTGCCCTCTACACCATGTGTGTGAAAATTTTAAGTATATAATCTCAATTAACATGTTTCAATACACACTTAAAAATAAAAATAAATGCCAACGCCACATCATTAGGTATTCCTAAGCCTTCAAATGTCAAATCCGGAATGAGAGTAGTTGTGAAAACTAAAAATACATGTATGATATAAAACTTTTTCTCATTTTGTAAATCGTATAAAAAATGTTCACCTATGGGCAAGGGGATATTTAAAGGCAGATTTTCCTCTGATGAAACTTCAAGGGATCTTGCTTCCTTTAAATCTAGTGAACTGTTTGTATTTTCAAATACAGGTTCTACTGAGCTTTGTGGTTCCGGTAGAGGGGAGTTTTCTAGTTCCGAATCAGGTTCAGGAGAGGCAACTGGTTCATAGAGAGTAAACCCTTCAGACAAAGGATCAGAATTGCCTTCTTCAACTGGAGATGTTTCTGTAAATACTTCAGGTTGATCAGAGGTCATGGGGTCAAGTGTGACCACTTCTATAATTGGGCTATTAGACATGAAAGGCTCTGAGTCCTCTGTGACTTGTTCTGTAGATCCCTCTAGCCCAGGCCCTGTAGATCCTTCTAATACATCATCAATTAGTCCTTCAAGTACTGCATTGGCTGAGCCTTCAAAAGCACTTCCTTCACTGGAAGCTGGGGAAGAAAATATCATTGAGGCTGTGACTCCAGATCCATCATCAACTTCTAGCTCTAACTCTGGTTCTAGATCAGTTGTAGAGCCATTTTGTTCTTGTTCCTGTAATTTTGTAGACTCTCCTGAGCCCTCAGCAAGATCATCAGAGCCTGATGTTTCAACAGTTTCTATCAGGTCACCAAAGCTAAAATCTAGTTTGTCTGGAAATTCTGTGAGCATACCAAGAGTTGTACTTGATATTACATCCTGATCATCTGATCCTTCGGCTTCATGCTGACTCAAGTTTGTTAGATTAGATACGCTTTCTAATTCTACAGAGATGGAGTTAGTTGCTACCTGCAATATTTCTAAATACATTGTCGTTCTGTCTTAAAAGACAAACTTCTGACAATTTTGTTGTTAGTATAAAGTATAAACTACCCTAAAAGATCAAAAATATCTATTTATAAAGATGAATTACTTTTAATCAAGATTTTTGCTAAAAGTTGTTTTTAATGCATTTTTGATAATTTTAGTAAAACGATCAAGTAATCCTTTAAATTGGAATTAAATCAGTATTTGTCAGCTTAATAGTTAACCTTCATATTATCATTCCTATTCTAGAATGTTCTTTATCTTTTTCTTAAGTTTTACAATGTTTTATCTCGTCATAACTCTCAGTAAATAATCATATGATACCAGGGCCGTAATTTCAAATGGGGGGGGGGGTCTCAGTCCTCATTTGGGACAGGGAAGCGCCAGTTTTCCATGAGGGGCTCAGAAAGGTTTATGACTGGTAGAAGTTAAAAAATGTTGCCTTGAAAATTGTTGAAATTTATAATTTAGGAAAATGCTAACGTTTTTTATAGGAAATCGGAAAGGAGTTGAACTTAATTTTAGGATCTTTAAGCTTTTTAGTTAAAATATACTTTTAAAAGTTTTTGGCTGTAGAAATGACTTTTGGTATACACAAACAAGAGTATAATGTTTTATAAGGATTATTTTTTTTCACAAGATCAATATGATTATTTATTGAGACATAAGTTTGACAGAACAATTCAAATTAAAAAGACATATAAACCTTTTGAGACATTCATGAACCAAAAAATGAAAATGAAAAATGGTATCTCTAGATTAAAGGGACTGTTAGCGTAATTTTAAGGGACCCTCCATGCAAAGATGGCTATTGCCGATTTACAACAGTACTTTTCAGATTTTTCACTATTTATCAATTAAAGAGAACTTTGTGTTTAAATATTTTGAAACCCTCTTGAATCCATGTAAAATGCAGTGTACGCTGCGTACAGTTTGAACTAAACACAGCTGATGCGCTACTTGAGTTCATGTAAAATGCAGTGTACGCTGCGTACAGTTTGAACTCAACACAGCTGATGCGCTACGTGAATTTGAAAAAAAAATATTTATTTTCTGCTTATCTTAAAAAGTGAATATAAAAATGTTTAAACTTAAAACGGCAAACATAGTGCTCAACAAGTGAAGCGTTTTGTAGATTAATTTGATCAGTCAAAGGTTTATGGGTATCGTTGTAAATCGGACATAGCTATTTTCGTCTGGAGGGTCACTTGAAATTACGCTTACAGAAATAGTTACTTTACTTACATCTTGAGCTGCTACTGTACTGAGCAGGGATAGAAAATATATCAATACAGAGTAAGCACCTGGTACCCTCTGCATTCTAAACTAAACAATTTTTTTTAATACCTCTAATTCGAGCTTTGATTTTAATCTTTATTATTTTTGTTACAGAAGCAATTTAAAGAACATTATGAGGAAAGTAATTTGTTCAATTTACTATGCATTTACAAGATCTTTGTTGTAAACCAACTTTGATTTAAAATACACGCATAGTAATGCTGTAATCCGTAGAATATTTAGTTTCCTAGGTTTTAGAGTATCTTTGTTTTTGTTTAGATGCATAGTATATAAAATAAGAATTTCTTAACACAAATGTACTCTAGAGCATGGACAACATTACTTTATGTCTTTTATAATCAGGTTTTTCAATGCTAATATATATATATATATATATATTATCTATGAGTCTATGACTGGCCAAACGGCTTGAGGTTGAAAGAGGCTATAAAAAAAATTAGATTTTGTTTTTCGAAATTTCGAGAAATAAAAATAAAGAGTGTTTTTAAAGTTCCACGGGCAACACCGGGCACTTCAGCATAGTTCAGAGGTCGAATTTAAATAATTTGAGCCGCGGTTTAAATTTAAGCTGCGGCTCAAATTTTGTTGTTTCCACTTAAAGGAATTGAGTTTTTGCAACAAACTTACATTTTCTAACCCCTATATCTTTGCAATCTGATGGTGTAAACCTTTGATATTTCAAACTTAGACTAGTTGATCTACCAGAATTAATAGTTTGAAATATCAAAGGTCTAGAAAAACGGGTTGCTAAGTTATAGGAATTAGAAAATCTGAGTTTGTGGCAAAAACTCAATTCCTTTGTATTAAATTTTTCAAGATTTAAGCTGGCGCTCAATTGAAACCTTTTTTTGGGGGATTTGAGTCGCGGCTTAAATTCATTAAATTCGGACACTGAATAATTAACGATCTCAAATTCGTTACTCTACTACCATGTTCATATGCGCACCTTGTATGAAACAAGATTTATTTACTTTTACAAATAAAGTAAATTTACCGACCACTGAACTAATTTTACAAATAAAGTAAATTTACCGACCACTGAACTAATTTTACAAATAAAGTAAATTTACCGATCCCTGAACTAATTTTAAAGTTGTTTTACCTTGTATTTTTTTTCTTGATAATATATTTTTTTTTGTGTTTTCGAAGCTACATCATCATTTTCTTATCTGGAACTGAAAATAAAGTTGTCAAAATTTAAAAGGTCAAAAAAATCTAGCCTGAAATTATTTTAAAATCACTGAATTGATTCTATCTATCTATTTATGTATATATACTTTGCTTGTCTGTTTGTCTGTTAGACAAAAATTTGTCTCCACAAAAATTTCATATTCATAAAATTTTAAAAATCCACAAAAAAATTTTTTTTGATTATTTTTATTATACATTGAGAAAATGCTCAAAGATAGAGCCAGAATTAAAATATAAAAAAAGATAGGGTGCCCGGAAACCTAGTACGTAGTATTATAAACAAAAGTCAACTATAAAAGATTGATAACTGGATAACATGAGCAAGCCCCAAGATTTTCAAAAAAAAGTGAGAGCATCAAAATAATCTTTTCCGTTCTTTAAAAGAAAATAATTATATACAATATTATAAAGTAAATTTTAAAATACAGAGCAATGGTTTCAAATATTTGTATGGATTGAATATATTTTTGATTTAACATTCATCATAAAATATTAATGTTTTGTATGTTTTCCAGACCAGACATTATTCATTATTCAGAGTTTAAAATATTAATAAAATTTTAATAGTTTAAAGTTGGTTGACCTTATTTTGGACAATACATATATACATATATGATATTTGATTCTCAACTAACATTAACAGGACTGTGTAGCCTGTAAATATATTTTCTCCCCGGTCTTAAATCAAAGTGAATAAATAGTATTTATTCACTTTGGTCTTAAATACCGTCATCTATGATCTAAGTAGCTGTATACTAATATACTATACAATATTTATTATTACCCTCGAATACCTTTAATGACAACAGAATCATTCTAACCGTCAAGGAATTGGGTTTTTAAACGAAATAATATTTTTTAATTCCTGTATTTTTGCAACCTGATAAAATCTTTGATATTTCAAACTTAGGTTATTTGAGGTCTACGTATTGGGTTGCAATGATATATTTGAGGTCTACGTATTGGGTTGCAATGATATATTTGAGGTCTACGTATTGGGTTGCAATGATATAAGGATTGTAAAGGAACTGAGTTCTTGCCCCAAACTATGATTTTCCTAATCTTGGGATCCCGATGTTGTAGACCTCAGATATTTCAAACTATGAATTCTGTTAGATCAAGTTTTAAATATCCAAGGTTTATACCATCAATTTGCAATGAAATAGGAATTATAAAATTTGAGTTTGTGGCAAAAACTCAATTCCTTTGAGTTTGTGACATAAACTCAGTTCCTTTGGACTCCTGTCTATTCTATATTCTTTTGAAGGTGTTATAAATGATTTGATGGAGTTTAACAAGTGTAAAGCTGGGGGAACAATGTCTGTAAATAAACAGAATTTTGTACTTACTCAATCACTCACACACTCACTCCCCCCC